CAATCAGATTTAGGTTTTAGGTTAAAATGTCATTGAATTAAGTTCTATAGAACTTAGAGTAAGTTCATAATTTTTTTACTTATTAGTACTAATGATAAGGTTTGTAATAGATTATAGTAGGATAATAACTGTATTAAAATTTAGACATGGTATTATAAGATAAGTAATTAATAAAGTATAAAAGACAATAGTTTAGATATTTGAAATTCATAGAAGTTGTGATAAAAATTTAGGTTAAGGATAAGTTCATAGGTAATTAATATACAATCATAGGGCAGTATAGAAATGTAGTAGGTTATAAGAATTATAAAAATAAATAGTATAAAATTAAGGTAAAAAAATTAAGTCATTTAAGTAAACTTATAGATTATAGTATAGTGTTAAGTTGATAATATTAATCGTTAAAAATATTAAAAGTTAGTAAAATTGGATTGAACTTAGAGTTAACTTGGAAAGTTTTTTAATCAGGGTTTAGAACATAGAGTATAATATTAATGATTTATTGAACATTGTGGAAAACATTTTGAACAATCTGTATTGAAATTGTGCACCTGTGATTCATACATCATGGAATTGTAATTGTTCACTGGGAACTTGAAAGTCTTGTGATGGTACATGATTTGTAAAGCGCGTTACACATCAATGAACTTGTACGCCCCCAGCAAGTAATTGTCACACTGCTGGAGATTATAGAAAATGGTATATAAGTTGGAAAAAGTTTGAATAAAATTGGCTTCAGTCTTGGCCAGACCGTTCCCAGAAGAGCTGCCTCCGTGTGGTTTCTTCTCTCCGTTCTGATTCACCGGTGCGGTCCTAACCCCCCCTTGGTCAGTGCAGGTCACCGACAGCTTTGGCGCCCGAACAGGGACCAGACTCCTGTAATTATAAATATATGTTCCCCAGTTTGTTTCTCTTGTTTCAGGACGGACCTTGCCTTAGGGTGCTGCAGCCCCCCCGGAGTGCGCGGGTTGATAGGCAAGTCAGTGTTTAGCATCACCGACGGACTGTGCGACTTATCGCCGTGTAGAGCGATTCAATCCTTGTAAAATTACCGTAAAATTACTGTATATTGTGTGTATTGTTTGTTATTACAGTTATGGGGAACTGCGGCTCCAAGGAAAGGAGAGCCTATATTCGTATTATGTGTAAAGCTTTGAAACATAAAGGGGTAAAGGTAAGTAGAGATAAAGTCAATTCTTTTCTAGATTTTGTACAGAAAGTTAATCCATGGTTCCCGGATCAGGGTACTTTAGAATTAGAAACATGGGATGAGGTAGGCAAATATATGAAAAAATGGTATACTAATCATGGTGGAACACAGATGCCACAAGATTCTTATTCCCTATGGAATATTTTGCGGGAAGCATTAGTTTTAAATCCTAATTATGGTTCTTTCCCTAGCTGCCTCATCCTCCTCAAAGTCTGAGTCACAGTTAGGGAACAAATAAATTAATATGGTTTGTCTGCTTCATCTTCAGCATCATAATCTCCCTCCTTAAACAAGCTATCCATATATAAATTGCTAATTTTTGTGAAGATGTCCATCCTACCTAAGGCAATCTACAGATTCAATGCAATACCCATCAAATTACCAGCAACATTCTTCTCAGACCTAGAAAAAACAACACAAGAATTCATATGGAAACACAAACAACCAAGAATAGCCAGAACAATCCTCAGCAAAAAAACAAAGCAGGCGGTATCACATTACCAGACTTCAAACTTTACTATAAAGCTACAATCATCAAAACAGCTTGGTACTGGTATAGGAGCAGGCATATAGATCAATGGAATAGAATTAAGATTCCAGAAGTGAAACCTCAATTTCTCAACCAACTCATCTTCGACAAAGTCTCCACCACCTACCACTGGGGAGAGGAAAACCTACTCAGTAAATGGTTCTGGGAAAACTGGCTGACCACATGCAGAAGATTGAAACAGGACCCCTATCTATCCCCATACACAAACATTAACTCCAAATGGATCAGAGACCTAAATGTAAAACCTACATAAAAACCATAAAAAATGAAGGACATATCCTCATGGAAATTGGAACTGGCATCCAATTCCTGAACAAAACTCAAAACCCACAGGCCATAAGAGATAAGGTAGAAAAGTGGGACCTCATTAAACTGACAAGCTTCTGCAAAGCCAAAGAAACCATCAAGAGAGCAGGGAGACAGCCCACAGACTAGGAAAAAGTATTTGCCAACTTCAGGTCCAACAAAGGTTTAACATCTTGGATCTACAAGGAACTCAAACGTGCTGAAAAGAAAAAAACAAACAACCCCATTTTAAAATGGGCAAAAGATATGAACAGACATTTCACAAAGGAAGAC